GAAACCGGGCCCGTCACTCCAGGGGGCCCGGCCGCTCTGTGGACCCCTGCAACTGGATACCAGTCGCCATGTTTTGCTGCCCTGGCCCACATAGCAAACCTCCGGGGCTGCCGTTTAAGGGGTTCCTCGGGTGGCCCATGCTGTTAGGGCCACCCGATGGAGATGGATTTTCAGAGGGCCCGGTCAGCACTGAGTGCTTTAACAGCGTGACCGGACCCCTGTGATGACATCACTGCTGGGAGGAAGTGACTGCCTCGGTCACTGTGTGTGTGTCTGTATGTATGTGTCTGTGTGTGTGTGTGTCTGTCTGTATGTGTGTATGTGTCTGTGTGTATATGTGTGTGACTGTCTGTATGTGTGCCTGCCTGTTTGTATGTATGTACGTGTCTTTGTATGTGTGTCTTTATGTGTGTATGTGTCTGTGTTTGTCTGTTAGTATGTATGTATGTATGTATGTGTCTTTGTATGTGTGTCTATGTGTATGTCTGTATGTATGTCTGTGTGTGTCTGTCTGTATATGTGTTTGTCTGTCTGTATGTGTGTGTGTGGGCCTGTCTGTATGTGTGTGTGTGTCTGTCTGTATGTGTGCCTATCTGTTTGTTTGTATGTATGTGTCTTTGTATGTATGTGTGTCTTGTGTGTGTGTGTGTGTCTGTATAATTGTATGTGTCTGTGTGTGTGTTTGTATGTCTGTCTGTATGTGCCTGTGTATGTATGTATGTATGTATGTGTCTTTGTATGTGTGTGTATGTGTGTGTCTCTGTGTGTGTGTGTGTGTCTGTATGTATGTATGTGTCTTTGTATGTATGTGTGTCGTGTGTGTGTCTGTCTGTATGTATGTATATGTGTATGTGTCTGTATGTATCTGTCTGTATGTGTCTATGTGTGTGTGTCTCTATGTATGTATGTATGTATGTGTCTGTGTGTATGTATGTGTGTCTGTATATATGTGTGTGTGTTTGGGGGGGAGTAAAGGGGGGGGTTAGGCAGGGGAAGGGGGGGCATGAATCAGTTTCACACCGGCACCACATGGATTGTGTGTACGCCACTGGTGCATGTAAAGTGTTAAAATACCACCATTTTTTTTTTTAAATTCTTTATTTCTGAAAGTGCATTTTTAAATAAATATGTCAGTAATACCAAAGGTTATTACAGTAGATAATTATTGGTGACATTTTGGTGACAGATTCAAGATGCATTGCACTCTTTTTTTTAGATTAGAAATTCAATATTTAAAAGAAACAGGCGTAGTACAACAAAAGAAAAACAATAGGTTATACATGCTGCGTGGAACACTGTAGCTTGAGATAACATTACTAGGTTTGATCATAATATGCAAGTAAGTACCATTGTTACAGACAGGCTTGTTATGCCCCAGAAAGCTAATAACAGGCAATTAGAGCCTATAATGCCCATAAACCTGGTGAGGGCACTTGATGGGACTTGCATATGTTTTGCAAATTCTTAGTTTTAGCAGTGGCATGTATCAGTATACAGAAACTAGCTGCATGATGTGGCTTGCGCAGAAGCCAAATATGTCATTGCCAATATATCGAAAAAACAGTAAAGCAGTTAGGCCTACACTGTGGCCACTCTCAGCTGCCGTGGACCTGTTCGGTGTAAATGCTGTAGTCACAAGCATGTACGGCCATCATTTTCGTAATTGGAGCAGCCATTTGCATGAGAAGGGATATACAAACAAGGAACTGAGAGAAAAATCAACCAGAAGCAATGGTTGCCTTTACGAGAGCTCAGTCACCCTGGGAGCGTGTGGGTGATGGCAGCGTGCCCCGGGTACCCATGTAGTGGTGGGAACTAAGTGGCTACAGTGACTCGTCTCAAATAGCCCTACAGCGGCAGCCACCAACCCCAGACACTCACTCCCTCCACTCAGGAGTCGCAGGTTGTGTAAGCTAGGTATACCCAGCTGGGCTGCGACCCAGGTCCAGAGAGTCCGCGCCCGGCGTCGGAGATGAGTATGCGTCCCCATCGTAAGACATTACCTCCCCCGGGAAAGGGCAGAGAAATAGAGGGTCTAGAGTAGCCGGTGCGTTGTCACCCCCCTGTACGCAAGCACCAGCGGGAACCACCCCGCAGCCCACAGGCCGCGTCCATGGAAGACGCGTCCCGTTAAGCCACGCGGGTCAGCGTACCCGCCGGTTTAGGGGGAGGCTATGTGCACACACACAGGGGGGGTGAGGTGAGGGTGTAGGACCCACTGCTGGAGAGGAGGGGGGGGGTCCGTCCAGGGGCGTTGTCCACGAGCCGTCAATGAGGGGGGAAGGTTTAGGTCCGGGATTGGGAGTCCGTATAGGCTTCCCACTACTCCCACACATTGAGGAAGTTTGCATACGTATCTCGCACCTGTGCGGTGAGTTTGTCCATCAAGAAGGCTTCTTTAATATTGCTAATTACCCTATCCATGTGCGGAATTTCGGTCTGCAGCCACGTCTGCGCCAAGGCGCGCCTGGCTGCCAGATTAATTTTATTTAGGAGCCTTTGGTCCTTGTTGGGGAAGTTGTCAATCGGTTTGGCCAGTAAGCAGGTCCACGGGTCAGGTTGGATTGGTCTTTTCAGTATGTCTGCCTGCAAGCGGGCTATGCCACTCCAGTATTGGGCAACCTTCGGGCAGGTCCACCACATGTGCAAATAGGTACCCTTAGCTCCACAACCCCTCCAGCATACGTCCGAGGGTGTTTTGCCCATGCGGTGGAGCTTGACCGGTGTGGTGTACCACCTCATTACGGTTTTATAACATTGTTCTTGGTGTATTACGCATATTGAAGATTTGGTAGCTGCCTCCCATATGTCCTGCCAGTCCCCACTCTCTAGTGTTTGCTGGAGGTCCGTTTCCCATTGTGATATGTATGAGGGTGTTTGGGAGTCCTTTGAGGGGGCACTTAGCTGTTCATATAATTGGATGATAAGGCCGGGACGTGGTCCGTCTGCTAGACAGAGTGTTTCATAGAATGTGGGCTGTGCTCTGGCTGCTTCCACTATGTGTGGTTTTCGTGCATAGTTCCGTACCTGTAGGTATCGAAAATAGTCTCTGCTTGTCAGTGGAGCTCGCGCCTTTAAGTCGTCAAAGGTAGGGAATGTAGTGCCCTGGTATAGGTGACAGTACCGCTGCAGGCCTGCGTCCTCAAGGCCGCGGAAATCCTGCGGGGCCATGCCCGGGGGAAAGGCATTATTTCGGAGGTACGGTGTCAGAGGTGAGACGGGGTGGGTGTGGGCGTATTTATGAGCCGTTGCATTCCAAACTCGTATTGAATTCAGAATGGCCGGGCATGTGGTTCGAAGCTCAGGGCGGTCAGAGCGGGGCACCCACATCCAGAATTGAGGCAGGTCGGTGCACATGAGGAGTGTTTCAATGTCCACCCACCTGTGTGTATCGGGGGGTGAGTGCCACTCAGCAATCTGCGCAAGGTGGGCCGCCAGGTAATAAAGGTGTAGGTTCGGGAGCCCCAAACCCCCCCTGCTTTTTGGGGTGCATAACGTGTGTCTCGCTATTCTGTGTCTCTTGCCCGCCCAGATATAGTTGTCAATAGCAGTTTGCAGCGGTTTGATATCAGTTCTCGTGACCGCTACCGGCAGTGCCTGGAAGAGGAAGAGGAGGCGAGGGAGGAGATTCATTTTAAAGGTGTGCAGCCTACCCAGCCACGAAATGGGCTTTTCGTGCCATCTATCTAAGTCCCTGCGCAGGGTGTGCATTAGTCTTGCTTGTTTGCCGCGTATAGATCGTCGTGTTTTTGCGTGAGTCGGACGCCCAGGTATTTAATGGGTTGTGTGCTAATTTTGAGATCTGTTGTACGCTGTAGCCAAGTAATGTCTGCGTCTGTCAACCCAAGGGGCATACCGACGGACTTGCCTACGTTTATCCTGTACCCGGAAACTTGTTGATACTTAGTGAGAATATCAAGGACCCGGGGGACTGTTACCCTGGGGGCTGTGAGAGTAAGTAAGATGTCATCAGCATAGGCCGAGACTTTAAACTCCTCAGACGCAATTTTGATGCCCTGCACTCTGCTGTCAGTTCGGAGTTGGTGTAGAAGGGGCTCCACTGCCACTATGAAGAGGAAGGGGGAGAGGGGGCATCCCTGGTGGGTGCCATTTTTTAAATCAAAAGGGACAGGTCGTGCTCCCGGGAGCAATATCTGCGCTCTCGGTGCCGCGTAAAGCGCTCTGACCGCCCTGACAAACACAGGAGGAAGTTGCATTTCCTCAAGGAGGGTGAACATGTACGACCACTGAAGCCTGTCAAAGGCCTTCTCCGCGTCCAACGCAAGGACCAGAGAAGGCGTGTGTGTCCTATTTGCCCACCACATCAGGTCAACCGCTCGTCTCGTGTTTCCGTATAGGTGCCTGTTGGGAACAAAGCCCACCTGATCAGCGTGGATCAGCTTGGGGAGAATGACGTTTAGTCTAGTGGCCAGAATCTTTGCATAGACTTTGAAATCAAAGTTAATGAGGGAGATAGGGTGATAATTGGCTACATTGGTGGAGTCGCGGTCCAGCTTGGGGATGAGGACAATATTTGCGGTCGATAGGTCAGTGTTGGGTGCGTCTGTCTCTGTCCACGTTTGGTACATGCTTGCCAGGCGGGGGACCAGGTGCTCCCTAAACACTTTATAATAGGAAAAATACCACCATTTTAAATACCCTAGGGTGTCTTAGTTTCCAAAATATGTAGTTTGATGGCGGTAACTTACATTGGCTGGCTTCAATAATGTCCTAAATGGGACATGGGTGTGTGACGGAACGCTGGCACTCCGACTGAGTACCTCCGCCAATCGATGCTCCTAGCGCTTGCCGAGGACTCCAAGCACTCCAACCGACACCATCAGCAGAGAGCAGGAACAAGCTCTTAGCAGAACTTAGTGATCATACCCTGGGGAGTATAGTGATTATAGCAATCCCCAGAGTGTATTTCTCCAATCCCCCAAACATGAGCCAAGGCTTAATGCTGGAACAAGACTGATTTACTGGCACACAGAACTCACAATTTATGCAACACAAAACTCCTCCTCTGGGCCAGGCTAGATAATTGAGTTTCTACAATACACAAAGCTCAATTATCTGCTGGCCAGAAATAATACAGTTTCATAAAACACACAGGGACCCCAAAACATGTAATAACCCCATAAAAAGTATATCCTTGGAACCGGGGGATCTGGGTGAACCACATATCCAAAATTCACCCAGATCTGTTCAGTACTTTGGAAAATACAGTTTAATGCAGATTCTGCAGAACATATACAGGCTAAATGAAAAACAATCACTTTATAATGTGTCCCCTGCTGTATAGTCCAAAACCACTGCACGATGTCTCTGTGCACCAAATACTGGCAAGATGGCACTGTGTTGAAAAGTCCAAACAGTGTCTGTGAGTTAAAATGGCCGCCATCCATTGTTCTCACCATGTGCTTCTGATACAGGAAATGGTGTCCACCCAGTAACTCCACAGTATGTCCCCAGATGGTTCTTAAAGGGCCAGCAGCAGCAGCACAACACAAATCCATTATGCCCAAATCATGTCTTTAAAGGGCAATACATCCCAGGGGCCATAGTCACAGGGCAAGAGGCGGGCAAGCAGTCCTCTCCAGGCACAAGTGGCAAAGGGCACTTCGTCACAGGGTGCATGATGACCAGCGGTGAAAATTCCAAATTGGAAAACTGGAATGCGCACCCTCCAAATAAGGTCTTTTAGCCCCCAGAGAACCTGACACCCTGTACATGGGTGGTATCACTGTACTCAGGAGATGTTGCTCAACACATATTGGGGTGTTCTTTGGCAGTAACACCTAACAGTAGCTGAAAATCCATGTCTAAAGTAGAATGTGTGTGAAAAATAACACAAAAAAAAAGACTACCCAAACGTTTGACCAAGACTGGTAGTATAATTATTGCTTGGAAAGTGTTACAATACTACCATTTGAAATACCCTAAGGTGTCTTAGTTTCCAAAATATATAGTTTGATGGGGGTAAATTACATTGGCTGGCTTCAATAATGTCCCAGATGGGACATGGGTGCATGATGACCAGCAGTTAAAATTCCAAGTTGGAAAACTAGAAAGCGCACCCTCCAAATAAGGTCTTTTAGCTGTGTGTGTGTCTTCTTTAGCAGTTGTATATACAACACTTCATCTTGGATGCAACCAGTGGCCAATGACTGATTGCTAAGCTTCCAAGTCCCGTTGAGTTTTATAATGTATTGTTATCAGTTTAGATCCTGGAATATCAAAGGAAACACACACACACACACTTTGTAAGAGTATTGAGAAATAAATTTACAGTATACCATAATTAGCACCCCAGATGGAAAAATTAAAATTATAAATAGAGAAAAAGCAAATGAACCATGCAGTGCATAATCAAAAAATACCCAACTTGACGTTTTAGAAAATCATTGAAACTGAACTGTAATTTGTTATATTTATAATCCATAAGTGTAAAAATCATAAAGGTTAATAGTATATGAATGCATTTACATTCTGGAATGTAACGTTAATTATATGCTTAATATGAGGGATTGAAAAAGGCGTGTTACAATAAAGAGAAAATAGCTTCTAATTTTCACTTCCTGACTGCTGAATGTGTGCACGACAAACAATCACAAATCACTGCTTCAAAGTGGAAACAATTATTTAGAAGAATCTAATTCCTCTACCTCTAAGTGATAATGAATTTAACTCTTGGTCTGACCCACCTTGGTCAGACATAATATGGAAAGACGCTAAACATATAGAAACCTAGAAACATAGAATGTGACTGCAGTTAAGAACCATCTAGTCTGCCCAATTTTCTAAATACTTTCATTAGTCTCTTATATCTAGGATTGCCCCGTGCATATCCCATGCATGCTTGAACTCCCTCACTGTGTTAATCTTTACCACTTCAGCTAGAAGGCTATTCCAAGCATCCACTACCCTCTCAGTAAAGTAATACTGACTGAAATTATGTTTAAACCTTTGCCCCTCTAATTTAGGACTATGTCTATGATATAGATACATCTCTGTGGGAAACTTCCAAGAGCTCCGATTTCCCCTCTGATGCTTTACCCAATGACAACCCTACAAGACAGAACATTATAAAGAGCTATCATCTAGGGAGTCCAGGACCAGATGGCTTAATCTAAAGTCAATGGGTGAGATCAGAAATCCAAGTAGATCAAGCATGTTTGAGAGTTCTATACACAGAACACAGAGCATTAAAAAATATATCAGGGCGTCATTAGTTGCTGTCTGTCAGTAGCCTCTCCAACCATCAAGAGTAAACTGCAGAAGATGCAACATGTTTTTATTCTGACACACGCTTATCATTAATGCTTACTATAATAATAGATTTTATTTCATTTTTTCAAAAATTGGTGGTGGGGCTGCAAAGAAGGGTGGTGAGCACCAGAATCAGAATCCACTGGTAATAGTAGTATTATTATTAAAAAAAATTTGTAACAGAAAAGTTGACAAACCAACTGGTAGTACAGCCAAAACTGGAGTTTTAGGACGAAGAAGAACTAAAATGGTTGCTTTTCACAGTTGCGTAAGATAGGAACAAGGTTGAGAAACCCCATTCCACACAAACGTCTAAGGGTATAAACATATGTAATAGAAATACCCTTTCCCTGATGGAAAAATTCACAGTTGAATATTGCGACGGTTTACTGTTTTCTTTTACCTTTTTCAGATGTACTCTTGCCAGGTCACACAAAGGTTACTGATGTACTGAACATAAAAATATGTATTAAAGATGATGCATTTGCTAAAGAGGCCGAATATTAAATTACTGATGGCTTTGAAAAACAACATAACAATAATCTAGCTCTGAGAGCTTAAATGTAAGCAAAGTCTCCATTCTTGTTAATGACATTAAATTATGAGTTTTTCAAAAGAAAAACAAAAAAAAACACCAAAAACAAAAAAAACAAAAACAGATGTAATATTTCCGTGGGAAGACAGGCAATGTAGGCAGGTAAATGGCTCACGGCAATTATCAGAGACTGAATTATAATTTAGGGAGACACACAAATACACTGCATTTCATGCCAAAAAGCACATGAAATTGAGTATGCTGGTTTTATTAAACACATCTAGACTCCAAACATTACAATAATGATGTTGTGCTCTAATTAAAAATGTATCTTTTTATGTACCATTTAAAGGCATTAATGTTCCCCTTCTTTTGATTCTTTACATTCTATGTGCCTCTCTGATTCATGAGGAGTTCAGATTTTTGTTGTTGTTGTACAGCCAGCCTAAGCAAATCGCATACCCTATATTATCATGCCTAGACATATATATATATATATATATATATATATATATATATATATATATATACAGGGAGTGCAGAATTATTAGGCAAATGAGTATTTTGACCACATCATCCTCTTTATGCATGTTGTCTTACTCCAAGCTGTATAGGCTCGAAAGCCTACTACCAATTAAGCATATTAGGTGATGTGCATCTCTGTAATGAGAAGGGGTGTGGTCTAATGACATCAACACCCTATATCAGGTGTGCATAATTATTAGGCAACTTCCTTTCCTTTGGCAAAATGGGTCAAAAGAAGGACTTGACAGGCTCAGAAAAGTCAAAAATAGTGAGATATCTTGCAGAGGGATGCAGCACTCTTAAAATTGCAAAGCTTCTGAAGCGTGATCATCGAACAATCAAGCGTTTCATTCAAAATAGTCAACAGGGTCGCAAGAAGCGTGTGGAAAAACCAAGGCGCAAAATAACTGCCCATGAACTGAGAAAAGTCAAGCGTGCAGCTGCCACGATGCCACTTGCCACCAGTTTGGCCATATTTCAGAGCTGCAACATCACTGGAGTGCCCAAAAGCACAAGGTGTGCAATACTCAGAGACATGGCCAAGGTAAGAAAGGCTGAAAGACGACCACCACTGAACAAGACACACAAGCTGAAACGTCAAGACTGGGCCAAGAAATATCTCAAGACTGATTTTTCTAAGGTTTTATGGACTGATGAAATGAGAGTGAGTCTTGATGGGCCAGATGGATGGGCCCGTGGCTGGATTGGTAAAGGGCAGAGAGCTCCAGTCCGACTCAGACGCCAGCAAGGTGGAGGTGGAGTACTGGTTTGAGCTGGTATCATCAAAGATGAGCTTGTGGGGCCTTTTCGGGTTGAGGATGGAGTCAAGCTCAACTCCCAGTCCTACTGCCAGTTCCTGGAAGACACCTTCTTCAAGCAGTGGTACAGGAAGAGGTCTGCATCCTTCAAGAAAAACATGATTGATTTTCATGCAGGACATTGCTCCATCACTGCAGCGTCCAAGTGATACTCCACAGCATTGGCTGGCAAGAAAGAGGGTATAAAAGAAGAAATCATGACATGGCCTCACTTGTTCACCCTGATGGACCTGATCTGGACCGGTGAGAACAGCTGGTCCATCATCAAATGAGATTTACAAGGAGGGGAAAACAGTACACCTCTCTGAACAGTGTCTGGGAGGCTGTGGTTGCTGCTGCACGCAATGTTGGTGGTGAACAGATCAAAACACTGACAGAATACATGGATGGCAGGCTTTTGAGTGTCCTTGCAAAGAAAGGTGGCTATATTGGTCACTGATTTGTTTTTGTTTTGTTTTTGAATGTCAGAAATGTATGTGAATGTTGAGATGTTATATTGGTTTCACTGGTAATAATAAATAGGTATATATATTTGTTTTTTGTTAAGTTGCCTAATAATTATGCACAGTAATAGTCACCTGCACACACAGATATTCCCCTAACATAGCTAAAACTAAAAACAAACTAAAAACTACTTCCAAAAATATTCAGCTTTGATATTAATGAGTTTTTTGGGTTCATTGAGAACATGGTTGTTGTTCAATAATAAAATTAATCCTCAAAAATACAACTTGCCTAATAATTCTGCACTCCCTGTATTAACTTTCTTTAGTTGCTGCAGCACCTTGTCTTGAGTTAACCAATTACAATTATTCTGCAAGGTTTTAGTAGCAATCATTTGCACATCTATTGCCATGGGTTCTTCCTTAATTTATACAAAGGAGAAATAGTTATTTAAAATTCCTGCCTTTTCCTGGTCTTCATTAACGAACACCCTCATTTCAGTTTTTTGGAATTTATGTATTTAAAGAATGCTTTGGGGTTGGTTTTGCTCTATTTGGCTATCATTTTTTTATTTTGAAGTTTAGCAAATCTAATCGCCTTTTTGCACGCATTATTGGCTTCCTTATATCTTTTATAGGATACATCTGATTTGTTAAATGCTTTAAATACCCTTTTCTTATTTTTTAATCTCTTGTTTTACTTCTCTACTAAGCCACATGGGTTTTAATTTGTTTCTTTCATA